ATAGATAGGGCGTACCAGCATTAACATTCGGTCATCATGAGCAAAATAATGCTATAATGCCCTACGCTCAATTGTGTTATGTATGGATGTTATTCATTTTCCTTTTGCTTGCTGAGGAAGGTTATATTGCCACTTGAATGGGACAAGACTACCGGACTAGTACACTTGTTGCTACAATGAACTTTTCCTGGGAGTAGTTTAGTTATGATTGCTTGGTTATATATTTTAGGGAAAACATTTCATGATGTTGCTGATAAATTATTAAAATGATTATGACTAGTTATGGAAGATACTTGGATGTAACCAGCATTAACATTCGTTATCATAGGCAAAATAATGCTATAATGCCATATGATCAATTGTTATGTATGGATGAGATTAATTGTCCTTTTGACTGTTGAGAAAGGTTATATGGCTGCGTGATTAGGATAAGGCTACTGGAATTGTCAAATTTGGACTAGTGCACTTGGTGCTGCAACTAGCTTTTCCTTTCGGAGTAGTTGCATTCTAATTGCTTAGTTGGTATAAACCATCTTAGCTATTTGAGTTTGCTGTATGGTTTTCATTATGTATTGTAGGGAAAGGATGTGGAGTTGCTGATAAATTATTAAAATTATTTAGTGCAGATTAGATATACTAACTTGCTTAGCCATAATAAATTTCTGAAAATTTATCATTTCTGATTGATGCATAGCACATTGTACAAGTACATCGCTAAATGTGAAACTACATAAAGGTCTTGCTAACGTTCTCCCTAATTTGCGATTTATCAAATTTTGTTTGATTAATGCTATTCTTTTCCCTGTCCCTTTTCAGCCTTGTTTAGGTGGAGATTCGAAGACATTGATGTTTGTCAACATTTCGCCTGACCCTTCATCCGTTGGTGAATCATTTTGTTCACTACGGTTTGCAGCACGTGTAAATGCTTGTGAGATTGGTATCCCCAGGCGGCAAACCAACCTCAGATCGACAGATTCTCGCCTTAGCATTGGCTGATTTTTGATAGTGTAACCGTTTTAGATTTAGGAAAAGTGTGTTATTCGTATTTCAATGGCATTAACAAGAAAAAAAGGCCCTACTAACAGCATCCACGTGTGATTTGTAGGTAAAGACTATATTGCCTTTGTATCATTGACACTGGATATTTAATGTTCTCTACAAATTTGTTGCATAAAATCAAATGCAATCTGTAATTGAATGGGAAAATTATTCAAAATGAAATCTACTTTCTTACTTAACTGCTTTTTGAAATGCATCTAATTTGAAAGATGCACCTGTTGTACATTTATGCCATTCGATTCATAACCTCTTGGAGAATTGAAGTTGTATCTGCATAATATGACTCTGTCTGAGGAAGATTCTGCTTTTTCACTGCATCTTCAAGCTGCCAAAATTTGTCTTCAGTGAAAGTTCAAAAAAAGTTACATTTATGAAGAAAAGAACGATAAATTTTGGTTAGATTACCTGTTCAACATTGTTGAACAAACGATTAGCAAGTTCTGTAAGAGATTTCTTATCATCTGCTGGTGCTGCGGAGATTACTTCATCAAAATCGTAGTACATAAATGTCGACTTAAGGCGCAGGTACTTCCTTATATAATTCCAAGTATCTTGTCCTATCATATCTCCCAATGCTATGAGATCGAAAGCATAACGTTTCAATCTGTGCATTCTCCCTTTAGTTCCAATATTTGCTATGTATATTCCTTTCTTGAGAAAAGACCGAGTTCCCGTCTCTTCATTGTTAATTTCTACAACAAAGAAAACATATAATCAGTCTTTCAGATTATAGCTTTTCTTAAATTTAAGTTGAAGAAGAAAAAGAAGTATAGAGCTTACTGTTGTTAACAGAGGGTACTGGTAAAGGTCCTGTGAGCCAAAATCCATTGTCCTCTGCAAGAGAAACTCTAATGCTTGTATTTCCAAAGAGTGCAATTGAAGCAAGGCCTATTGCCAATCTTCTTGTTGTGTGCACTTTGTTGTGTTCAAATTCATCCTTTTTCTTGCCAAAAAAGCATGTAATTGTCGATTTTCTCGCAGTTTTCTCGACCCGGCGCAGCTTGGGAATTGAAGGTGGAGCTTCAAATACTCCATTGAACTTTGCAGTGATTGCCATAGTAGTTCTCAAGTGAAGAAGTTTTGGGCTGTTTTGATTTTATCTGCTTGAAAAGTGCGGGCTACCATTAACCACCAAATGGATATCCTTTGGGGGGATAAATTAGTCATTTTGTAAAATCTATATTGTGGGGCCTACGTGTGGGTCCTATCGAAAATAATGTTGTCCCTGAATTGTATTTGGTGGGTACAATGTTGTCTTGAAGTATAAACAAGAGAGCTATACGCAACTTCATTGCTAGACAATTTTGATTTACTTGTTAAATAGCTGTCTTTTGGAAGTTGTAGTAAAAAATCATAATAATTATTAAGTTGCAGCCACGAAAGTCCACCATGAAACCGACTACTCCAAAATGCACTCAAAATTCTAGTGTCACCAGTTCAAATCTGATTTTGAACGTATGAACCGTATAACCAAGAGAAACCATAAACCATCATAGATGAATTTCTGTAAAAACACTTTCGAATTCATCAACTCGGATCCACACACGATGCACTAAAATTTCAAATTAGAAGAGTTTTTAGAAGAAACAACATATTTATGTCAAAGTTCTTAAAAGATACAACAAGGAGTCGAAAAGTAACTAACCTCAAATTTATCATAAACAAATTTCGTTTTGTTATAGTTGATGTTACTGTTTACATTATCCACCTGGAGAAATGGGATTTGCTGGATGTTTGATTACCATAGCCCACAGAATTGGATAAGAGTAGAGCTGTTATAGATAATGAAATTATGTGGCATTCGAAGAGGGCCCTACTTTGATCCCATCCATTTCAGTCCCTGTTAAAATCCCAGAATAAATTGAACACTTCATCCTACACAATTCAAAGAACATTTTCGAGTTTTCGTCTAAATTCATACACTATTATGGCACAGCATCAGCAAATACTGAAGTCTAGAGTTGTCAAAATAGACTCTGAAGAAACATGGGATTTCTTTGCATCTCAAGCTAATAAACAAGGATGTCCTGTAAGTTTCGACGTAACCTTTCTTTTCTTGATATTTCTATCGACAAAGTTGTGGCACAAAAGTTAACCTGTTAGAGACGAGACATATTTATATTAACTTAAGTCTTCAACACAACATGTACACAATTTTCATAAATGGGTAGCGACAGCGTTTTGAAACTTGCAGGTTATAGTTCACTTTACAGCTTCATGGTGCATGCCTTCAGTAGCCATGAAGCCATTTTTCGAACGACTGGCCTTATGTCATCGCGATATTTTTTTTCTACGGGTGGATGTCGACGAGGTTAAGGTAATATACTTCCAGAAATACAATCTTAGTACTAAAATCATTGTTAAATTGTCTGAGAATTATGATTTATTTTATCAGGAGTTAGCATCAAAGATGGAGATTAAGGCCATGCCCACTTTTTTGTTCATGAAGGAAGGGGCGGTGGTAGATAAGCTTGTGGGTGCCAATCCAGAGGAAATCAAGAAGAGGGTTGTTGGATTAATCAACTATAATCATTGATTCATTCTGGTTGGGGCGATGATGACCCGACTAAATAGCACTGTATATTTCTTGTATGTTTAAAACAAGAATAATTGTGTCAAGAAATGATTATTTGTGCTCATATCAGAATTCTCGGAGTAATTCTCAATCGACGTACAAAGTCTAAAATTTCGAATACACAAAAACGAACTAAATGGAATATATGGTGGTCGATTCAACTCTGACATCACTATACGATAATTTTACTACCTTTCTACGTTAGTAATCCTATATCCGAACATGTACGAAATACTAAATCCAAAAAGTAAGAGTTGTCAATTAATACAACCCATTGTTACAAAAATAAGTAAACAAAAGGTTGAAAAATAAGATAATGATCAAATGGCATCAGCCATTAATAAAGATAAAATATTTTATTATGATTTATGCATAAGCATTTAGAAAAGGTTGCTAGTGCAGAATATGATGAGCATTTGTGGATTGAAAATTTATTCTTTCTTTATCATGTTGATGTTGAAATAAGGTGGTTATATAATTATGAACTTGTCTAAAATGTGAAATATGTGTAGATTCCTGCCTGTTCAAATTATATAAATATTTAAAGTTCAAATATATTTCATAAAATTGTAAAAGTTATGTTACTACTATAGGTGCAAAATGAAAGACTCGACTTGTCTTATCTAAGGTGCGATACAAATAAGATCCATACCTTTTGATGGAAATAAATTTTCTATATGTATGAACTTGAATAAATTTTAAAATATGTTCCCTTTTGCTCAAATTATATATATATATATATGGAAAAATATATAATTATCATAGTTTCAAGATACACATTTAGATTTAGGAAATTATAGAATTCTTTTATACATAATTAAATAGGTTAAAGTCATAATAACATACAATATATAGTATAATTACGTATCAGTCACAAATTACCCAATATCACTACAAATAAGATACAAAATATGGATCAAAATTACATATTTAGTAAATCACACATTTTTATAAATAAAAATTTATTTATCAGTCATAAATTACCCATTTTATTAATCACAATTACTCAACTAATTGTTCATAAATGTTCTGAATCCCACACTACTCCACCACAATGAGTACCATAAAAACGCAGTTGTTACCTCACCACAACCGCCACCCAACCACCGCTTGTACCAATAATTACCACCACTACCTCCTCCAATCAACCATCCATCTACGTCCACCATGCCGCCACCTACACACCTCTAACCAACCACATCAGCATCACCACCACATTGACACCACCATCACACAACAACCACCACCTCCACCACGCCAACCACCACCATGCTGATTCACAACCCACCACTACATAAACAACAGTGTACCATACTTTACCGCACCAACGCCAAATGGCAATAAAGATAGTGTTTTATTATGAATTATGCATAAGCATTTAGAAAAGGCCACTAGTGCAGAATATGATGAGCATTTGAGGATTGAAATTTTATTCTTTCATTATTATTTTGATGTTGAAAAGGTTGTTATATAATTATGAACTTGTGTAAAATGTGAAATATGCGTATATTTTCATCTGTTTAAATTTTATGAATTTTGAAAGTTTAAATATGATTCATAGAATCGTAAAAGGTATGTTATTACCATAGGTGCAAGATTTTATTAAGGAACAGGAGAAAGTTAAGAATTTACTGGAATTAGCAGAGAGGAAATGCAATGATATGGGTATGGGTGATTTGTTGATTAGTCATCAGTGCTTTAGGCTATCGAATAAATGAAATAGGTAGAACTTTTAACATGCAATATAATCTTATTACCTCATTCTCAGAGTTGCTGATGAAGGAAAAGGAAGAAGAGTTGAATTTAATCATTATGGAGTTGAGAAAGAAATTGGAAGCATTGCAAGAAAAGTTCACAAATGAGGAATTGGATAAATTGGTAAGATGAACACTAACGTGCAAAGGGTTGTGTTGTGGTTTTGGATGCTATTATTTTGTATATCCGCAAAGGACTAAATTGTTTAATGTGATCGTCAGGAAGCATTGGATTCTTTAGCAAGAGAGAAAGATGCTAAACTAGCTGCAGAGAGATTGCAGGCTTCCCTCTCAGAAGAGCTGAAGAGAACTCAAGAAGACAGCGCTAGTGCCAACCAGAAGGTAAAGAGAGAAGACAAATAACTGAAATTAGATTTCGTAATAGTTTCTATCAAATAATCTGCTGAAAACTGTATCCTTCGGGTCCTTGTTTGGCTTGTGCAGATACAGTCACTTAATGATATGTACAAGCGTTTGCAGGAGTATAACACGAGTTTACAGCAATATAATACTAGACTTCAGTCAGAACTTGCAGCAACAAATGAAACGCTTAAACGAGTTGAGAAAGAGAAGGTGGCAGTGGTTGAAAACCTGAGCACTTTGAGGGGACACTATACATCTTTGCAGGAGCAGCTAACTTCATCGAGAGTGAGTATTATGTTTTTGTTTTGACTTGTTGCACAACTCTCAACTCTTTTTATGCATTCATCACATGATTAATATGTGAGACCATTATGCCTTTTTGCAAGAGAAAGGACAACTTATTCTCACATTTACAACTTTATGTGCTTTACAGGAGATCGTCTATTTGACACCTTTGGACCTTATTTTGAGCATACTTAGAGTTGGGCTATGTGAATCTTGAAACCTTCATTTCTCCTGAACTTTAATCTTCACCAACTTAGAATAACTTTGCAACTATGGTAAGGTGAAGATATGAGGAAATGTGTTTTTTTTTTCCAAATTTTGAACCACTGGTCTTACTTTTTTCTTCTCTTTTTTTCTAATTCACTTCCTCTTTTACCATACTGCTGTATTAATACACATGGACTGAATGAGAGAGCTAGGGTAAGGTAAAGAATTTGTGGAAATGTACGCCTGCTCTAAATTTTGAACTACTGGTCCTTACTTTTTTTCAATTCACTGCCTCTTTAACCATACTGCTGTATGAATATGCATGGAATGCATGGGAGAAATTGCAATAGTTTACCAGATGTTTTCTTACAAAGGTTTATAATGCTTGATATTCCCAGGTTTTGCAAGATGAGGCCATCAAACAGAAGGAAGCACTAGGAAATGAAGTTGTATGCTTGAGGGGTGATTTGCAACAAGCAAGAGATGACCGTGACTGCCAGTTGTTACGAGTCCAGACTCTATCAGCTGAAGTAGAAAGATATAAAGAGTGCACTGGAAAATCCTTTGCAGAATTAGATAACCTGACTGTAAAATCAAATGAGCTGGAGGTTTGCTTTCCATACGTAATGCTTTTCCCTCTCAACCACAGAAATTTATTTACTAACAAATATCATGTAATTTTTTTTTAGTCAACATGTTTGTCTCAAAGTGAGCAAATAAGACGACTGCAGGAGCAGCTAGCTTTTGCAGAAAAGAAATTGCAGGTTCTCGATCTTGCATTTTCAGCTTTTGGTTGCTTTAAAGTTCTTACTGACCGGCATATCAAAGTTTATTTAGGTTTCTCTGTTCTGGATCATACTGGTTCAAGTACTCTCTTCTTATTTTATTTTTGTCATTTTTGTTAGCTGTCTGATGTATCAGCAATGGAGACAAAATTCCAATTTGAGGAGCAAAACGCATTCCTTCTTGATTTACAGAGTCGTCTGGTTGATGCAGAACTAAAAATTGTGGAAGGAGAGAAGGTTCGGAAGAAATTACACAACACAATACTGATAAATACAAATTCACATTTAATTTTAACCTGCCTGAATATTGATTGAAATTTTGTTTACAATCCTTCCATCTGATGATGTTAATTAGAAGCATCTGTCAATATAGGAGTTAAAAGGGAATATTCGTGTTTTCTGCAGAGTAAGACCTCTACTGTCTGACGATGAGGTTGGAACTGATGCTAAAGTTATCTCATTCCCTATAGCAATGGAAGCACTCGATCGAGGCATTGATTTGATTCAAAATGGTTAGCCTTGATTGAAATGGAGTCACATAGTGTTATACTTACGGGATTTGGATAGATTATTATTGCGATACATCCTATGCTTTAATAATCCTATTTTCATCAGGACAAAAGCACTCTTTCACTTTTGACAAAGTGTTTACACCTGAAGCCTCCCAAGAAGACGTATTTGTTGAGATTTCACAACTTGTTCAAAGTGCACTTGATGGTTACAAGGTAGTGTATTCCCGACAGCTCCAGTTTATCTATCATTCGAGTTTCTTACTTCAGAACTTGAGGTTGATAGGTTCATAAGGACTTTACTTATCCTTCAGATTATGCTATTTCATACTGCCCTAGTTGTTGTCTAGTTGATTTGCTACAGCCGATACGGACGATTCTCAATCTTGAGTCATGAACTCTAGATGATCTGCTAACCAGTTACATCTTGAATTTGTTTGGTTGCCATATGAATTCGTGATGAGTGTGCTGTGATTATTTTCCTGTGATCTGTCTCATGGCTACAGATGAATGCTTGATTTCACAAGATATGCATGCAGATTATTTTTTTTCACTCCATTTTACTGTCCAGATTTGATTTGCTAACATCCTAATGGTCGCCGGCAACTCTGCTGTCTCAGGTTTGTATCTTCGCTTATGGACAAACTGGATCTGGCAAGACATTTACAATGATGGGCAAGCCAGGTATACCTGATCAGAAAGGTTTGATTCCTCGATCCTTAGAACAGGTGTTTGAAACCCGACAAACTCTTCAATCACAAGGGTGGAAATATGAAATGCAGGTTATAGTGACTGCTATTGTCATATATCTCTACTAGTTGAGCTTGCTTAGGCCTATCTTCTAATTTTCTGTTCTTATCCGATTATTTTAGGTGTCAACGCTTGAAATATACAACGAAACAATACGAGACTTATTGGCAACAAATCGATTGGGGTTTGATGCACACCGGGCAGAGAACATGGGGAAGCAATATGCTATAAAACATGATGCAAATGGAAACACTCATGTTTCTGATCTTACAGTTGTTGATGTTCACAGTAGCAAGGAGGTCTCATATCTGTTAGAGCTGGCAGCACATAGCAGGTAACAAAGAACCTTTCACCCTATTATTTGTGTTAATCAAGCATGTGTTTTTACTATGGAAGTTGATCTCTATAAAGTTTTTAAAGATGCTTTTACACCCACATTTAGATATAAGTTCAGACCTCTATTTACTTCTGTGGACTACCATCATGGAGCATTTATTTTTTAAAGTGCACAATTTGGGCAGTGTTACAAATTTGATCTTTTGTCCGTAATTGGATTCAATTTTTTTAGATCCGTTGGCAAGACTCAAATGAATGAACAGTCTTCAAGGAGCCATTTTGTTTTTACGTTACGAATATTTGGCATTAATGAGGTAAATGGACCTTTCCTGCTTTCTGTTGCATCGTGGTCATGATTCCATCTTTATCTTGGTCTGAGAAAACATGATCACAGATTTTGTATTCCTTTTTTGTGGCAATAGGGCACTGATCAACAAGTGCAAGGCATCCTCAATCTAATTGACCTTGCTGGTAGTGAGCGTCTCTCTAAGAGTGGATCTATAGGAGACCGTCTGAAAGAAACTCAGGTGTTAGAATAAGAACTATTTCCATTTCTTTTTAGATTTTTTTCATTGTACAGATTTGTTTAAAATTATCTTTCTCATTTTGAGTAACACTCAGGCTATCAACAAGAGTTTATCCTCACTAAGTGATGTTATATTTGCCTTGGCCAAGAAGGAGGAGCATGTGCCATTTAGGAACTCAAAGCTAACCTATCTTCTTCAGGTAATTTTCAGCATTGATGCCTTGATAGCGTATGAGCAAGTTGGAGTGAAAATGATGTTAAATCGAGTTAAGTCAAGGCTTGATTATGGCTATCTGAGGAAGATAGATAGGGCGTACCAGCATTAACATTCGGTCATCATGAGCAAAATAATGCTATAATGCCCTAAGCTCAATTGTGTTATGTATGGATGATATTCATTTTCCTTTTGCTTGCTGAGGAAGGTTATATTGCCACTTGAATGGGACAAGACTACCGGACTAGTACACTTGTCGCTACAATGAACTTTTCCTGGGAGTAGTTTAGTTATGATTGCTTGGTTATATATTTTAGGGAAAACATTTCATGATGTTGCTGATAAATTATTAAAATGATTATGACTAGTTATGGAAGATACTTGGATGTAACCAGCATTAACATTCGTTATCATAGGCAAAATAATGCTATAATGCCCTATGATCAATTGTTATGTATGGATGAGATTAATTGTCCTTTTGACTGTTGAGAAAGGTTATATGGTTGCTTGATTAGGATAAGGCTACTGGAATTGTCAAATTTGGACTAGTGCACTTGGTGCTGCAACTAGATTTTCCTTTCGGAGTAGTTGCATTCTAATTGCTTAGTTGGTATAAACCATCTTAGCTATTTGAGTTTGCTGTATGGTTTTCATTATGTATTGTAGGGAAAGGATGTGGAGTTGCTGATAAATTATTAAAATTATTTAGTGCAGATTAGATATACTAACTTGCTTAGCCATAATAAATTTCTGATTGATGCATAGCACATTGTACAAGTACATCGCTAAATGTGAAACTACATAAAGGTCTTGCTAATGTTCTCCCTAATTTGCGATTTATCAAATTTTGTTTGATTAATACTCCAAATGATTAATGCTATTCTTTTCCCTGTCCCTTTTCAGCCTTGTTTAGGTGGAGATTCAAAGACATTGATGTTTGTCAACGTTTCACCTGACCCTTCATCCGTTGGTGAATCACTTTGTTCACTACGGTTTGCAGCACGTGTAAATGCTTGTGAGATTGGTATCCCCAGGCGGCAAACCAACCTCAGATCGACAGATTCTCGCCTTAGCATTGGCTGATTTTTGATAGTGTAACTGTTCTAGATTTAGGAAAAGTGTGTTATTCGTATTTCAATGGCATTAACAAGAAAAAAAGGCCCTACTAACAGCATCCACGTGTGATTTGTATGTAAAGACTATATTGCCTTTGTATCATTGACACTGGATATTTAATGTTCTCTACAAATTTGTTGCATAAAATCAAATGCAATCTGTAATTGAATGGGAAAATTATTCAAAATGAAATCTACGTTCTTACTTAACTGCTTTTTGAAATGCATCTAATTTGAAAGATGCACCTGTTGTACATTTATGCCATTCGATTCATAACCTCTTGGAGAATTGAAGTTGTATCTGCATAATATGACTCTGTCTGAGGAAGATTCTGCTTTTTCACTGCATCTTCAAGCTGCCAAAATTTGTCTTCAGTGAAAGTTCAAAAAAGTTACATTTATGAAGAAAAGAACGATAAATTTTGGTTAGATTACCTTTTCAACATTGTTGAACAAACGATTAGCAAGTTCTGTAAGAGATTTCTTATCGTCTGCTGGTGCTGCGGAGATTACTTCATCAAAATCGTAGTACATAAATGTCGACTTAAGGCGCAGATATTTTCTTATGTAATTCCAAGTATCTTGTCCTATCATATCTCCCAACGCTATGAGATCGAAAGCATAACGTTTCAATCTGTGCATTCTCCCTTTAGTTCCAATATTTGCTATGTATATTCCTTTCTTGAGAAAAGACCGAGTTCCTGTCTCTTCATTGTTAATTTCTACAACAAAGAAAACATATAATCAGTCTTTCAGATTATAGCTTTTCTTAAATTTAAGTTGAAGAAGAAAAAGAAGTATAGAGCTTACTGTTGTTAACAGAGGGTACTGGTAAAGGTCCTGTGAGCCAAAATCCATTGTCCTCTGCAAGAGAAACTCTAATGCTTGTATTTCCAAAGAGTGCAATTGAAGCAAGGCCTATTGCCAATCTTCTTGTTGTGTGCACTTTGTTGTCTTCGAATTCATCCTTTTCCTTGCCAAAAAAGCATGTAATTGTCGATTTTCTCGCAGTTTTCTCGACCCGGCGCAACTTAGGAATTGAAGGTGGAGCTTCAAATACTCCATTGAACTTTGCAGTGATTGCCATAGTAGTTCTCAAGTGAAGAAGTTTTGGGCTGTATTGATTTTATCTGCTTGAAAAGTGCGGGCTACCATTAACCACCAAATGGATATCCTTTGGGGGGATAAATTAGTCATTTTGTAAAATCTATATTGTGGGGCCTACGTGTGGGTCCTATCGAAAATAATGTTGTCCCTGAATTGTATTTGGTGGGTACAATGTTGTCTTGAAGTATAAACAAGAGAGCTATACGCAACTTCATTGCTAGACAATTTTGATTTACTTGTTAAATAGCTATCTTTTGGAAGTTGTAGTAAAAAATCATAATAATTATTAAGTTGCAGCCACGAAAGTCCACCATGAAACCGACTACTCCAAAATGCACTCAAAATTCTAGTGTCACCAGTTCAAATCTGATTTTGAACATATGAACCGTATAACCAAGAGAAACCATAAACCATCATAGATGAATTTCTGTAAAAACACTTTCGAATTCATCAACTCGGATCCACACACGATGCACTAAAATTTCAAATTAGAAGAGTTTTTAGAAGAAACAACATATTTATGTCAAAGTTCTTAAAAGATACAACAAGGAGTCGAAAAGTAACTAACCTCAAATTTATCATAAACAAATTTCGTTTTGTTATAGTTGATGTTACTGTTTACATTATCCACCTGGAGAAATGGGATTTGCTGGATGTTTGATTACCATAGCCCACAGAATTGGATAAGAGTGGAGCTGTTATAGATAATGAAACTATGTGGCATTCCAAGAGGGTCCTACTTTGATCCCATCCATTTCGGTCCCCGTTAAAATCCCAGGATAAATTGAACACTTCATCCTACACAATTCAAAGAACATTTTCGAGTTTTCGTCTAAATTCATACACTATTATGGCACAGCATCAGCAAATACTGAAGTCTAGAGTTGTCAAAATAGACTCTGAAGAAACATGGGATTTCTTTGCATCTCAAGCTAATAAACAAGGATGTCCTGTAAGTTTCGACGTAACCTTTCTTTTCTTGATATTTCTATCGACAAAGTTGTGGCACAAAAGTTAACCTGTTAGAGACGAGACACATATTTATATTAACTTAAGTCTTCAACACAACACGTCCACAATTTTCATAAATGGGTAGCGACAGCGTTTTGAAACTTGCAGGTTATAGTTCACTTTACAGCTTCATGGTGCATGCCTTCAGTAGCCATGAAGCCATTTTTCGAACGACTGGCCTTAAGTCATCGCGATATTTTTTTTCTACGGGTGGATGTCGATGAGGTTAAGGTAATATACTTCCAGAAATACAATCTTAGTACATAAAATCATTGTTAAATTGTCTGAGAATTATGATTTATTTTATCAGGAGTTAGCATCAAAGATGGAGATTAAGGCCATGCCCACTTTTTTGTTCATGAAGGAAGGGGCTGTGGTGGATAAGCTTGTGGGTGCCAATCCAGAGGAAATCAAGAAGAGGGTTGTTGGATTAATCAGCTAAAATCATTGATTCATTCTGGTTGGGGCGATGATGATCCGACTAAATAGTACTGCATATTTCTTGTATGTTTAAAACAAGAATAATTGTGTCAAGAAATGATTATTTGTGCTCATATCAGAATTCTCAGAGTAATTCTAAAATTTCAAATACACAAAAACGAAATATATGGTGGTCGATTCAACTCTGACGTTACTATACGATAATTTTACTACCTAACTTTTCTACGTTAATATTCCTATATCCGAACATGCACGAAATACTGAATCCAAAAATTAAGAGATGTCAATTAATCCAACCCATTGTTACAAAAATAATTAAACAATAGGGTGAAAAATAAGATAATGATCAAATGGCATCAGCCATTAATAAAGATAAAATATTTTATTATGATTTATGCATAAGCATTTAGTAAAGGTTGCTAGTGCAGAATATGATGAGCATTTGTGGATTGAAAATTTATTCTTTCTTTATCATGTTGATGTTGAAATAAGGTGGTTATATAATTATGAACTTGTCTCAAATGTGAAATATGTGTAGATTCCTGCCTGTTCAAATTATATAAATATTTAAAGTTCAAATATATTTCATAAAATTGTAAAAGTTATGTTACTACTATAGGTGCAAAATGAAATACTCGACTTGTCTTATCTAAGGTGCGATACAAATAAGATCCATACCTTTTGATGGAAATAAATTTTCTATATGTATGAACTTGCATAAATTTTAAAATATGTACCCTTTTGCTCAAATTATATATATATGGAAAAATATATAATTATCATAGTTTCAAGATACACATTTAGATTTAGGGAATTATAGAATTCTTTTATACATAATTAAATAGGTTAAAGTCATAATAACATACAATATATAGTATAATTACGTATCAGTCACAAATTACCCAATATCACTACAAATAAGATACAAAATATGGATCAAAATTACATATTTAGTAAATCACACATTTTTATAAATAATAATTTATTTATCAATCATAAATTACCCATTTTATTAATCACAATTACTCAACTAATTGTTCATAAATGTTCTGCATCCCACACTACACCACAATCAGTACCATAAAAACACAGTTGTTACCTCACCACAACCGCCACCGCTTGTACCAATAATTACCACCACTACCTCCTCCAATCAACCATCCATCTACGTCCACCATGCCGCCACCTGCACCTCTAACCAACCACATCAGCATCACCACCACATTGACACCACCATCACACAACCACCACCTCCACCACGCCAACCACCACCATGTCGATTCACAACCCACCACTACATAAACAACAGTGCATCATACTTTACCGCACCAACGCCAAATGGCAATAAAGATAGTGTTTTATTATGAATTATGCATAAGCATTTAGAAAAGGCCACTAGTGCAGAATATGATGAGCATTTGAGGATTGAAATTTTATTCTTTCATTATTATTTTGATGTTGAAAAGGTTGTTATATAATTATGAACTTGCGTAAAATGTGAAATATGCGTATATTTTCATCTGTTTAAATTTTATGAATTTTGAAAGTTTAAATATGATTCATAGAATCGTAAAAGGTATGTTATTACCATAGGTGCAAAATAGAATAATCGACTTGTCTTATCCAAGGGGAGATACGATTACGATCCATACCTAATTGGTTGAATTTTTTTCCTTTCATTATCATTTTGATTTGAAATGTTTCAACGATGTTGGATTTACCACACAATAATTTATATTCAAATAGCAAATAAACAGTTGGAAAAAATTTTGATTTATAGAATGAATGGAATAGAATAAAAGTCTAATGATCGAGGCAAGAGTTTGATCTCCTTAAGACGATATTTTCACGCACTAATGTTGACGATCTTTTGACACTCGTCTCCCAAAATATAACAACTTCGACTTGAAATAGTAACACTTCAATTACGAGACTTGACGAACCTAATAATATTTTGATCTCTTTGAGACAGGAGGACTAAAATACACGAAATTAATATTTGGGACTTAAGTGCACAATATGGAATAATGTAGATCGAAAGGATTATATTTTGCAAGAGAGATAATCAAGAATGATTTTTGGAATGAATAAAATTCGGGACATGGAGACCTATGTGTATAAGTGGAAATGTTGTGTCCTTTGGACACAACATCCCAGTTTTTAGAAGATGCCACGCGTCGCATATAGAAAAATTCAAAATAAATAAATAATATAATTCAAATATATTATTTAATAATAAAATTCAAATATTATTTTACCAAAAATATTTATACTAATTTTGGCCCAAGCCCAAAATATTATTTATGCGTGTGAGCTTTGGCTCAACCTACTAGCATGTAGGTCCTCTCCCCTTCAATCCAAACCCAAGCACCAAACTTGAGCAATATAAAGCGATTTCTATTCTTCTAGTTTTCCTATGTGTAATAGGCATTTTTCAATTTTTCACCAATTTTTATTTTCAATTTATTTCAACTTCAAGTAGTCATTTTTTGACTTTAATTTCTCATTCACCGTTAATTGGATTTGAGAAAATGAATGCATACATCAATCTACTCATGGTAAAATATACTCGGCCAAAGAAATCTTTTATCCAACTAACGGGAACCACTTAAAGAATTGGTCAAAATTTGATCAAACCATTTAATTAAACCAATTTTCCGACATGAAATAAGGTTGCTATATTTATGAACTTATATAAATTGTGAAATGGTTGTAGACTCCCTTCTGTTCAAATTATATAAATATATAAAGTTAAAATATGATTGGTAGAGTTGTAAGAGATATGTTACTATAGTTGCAAAATAAAATACTCGATTTTCCTTAGCAAATGTGAGATGCGATTACGACCCATACCTTCTGATGGATTAAAATTTTGTCCATTCGTAATCATTTTGATGTTGAAATGAGGTTGCTACATTTATGAACTTTGCATAAAATATGAAATATGTATAAATTCCAGCCTGCTCAAAATATATAAATATTTAAAGTTAAAATATGATCGGTAGAGCCATAAAATTTGTGCTGCTCTAGGTGCATAATAGAATACTCGACTTGTTGTAGCAAATGTGGGAAATGATTATGACCCATGGTTACCGTATTTATGAACTTGAGTAAAATGTGAAATATGTATAAAAATTTCCGTCTGTTCAAAATATATAAATATAAAAATTTGGAAAATGATAAGTAAAATCATAAGAGACGTGTTCCTCTAGGTGCAAATAGAATACTCGATTTGCCTTGGCAGAATTGCGATACCATTACGACACACCTTTTGAAGGATTGAAATTTCATTATCATTTCGACGTTGAAATAAGGTTGTTATATTTATGAACTTGCTAAAATGTAAAATATGTATAGATTTTCATCTACTCAAATTATATCAATATTTAAAATTGAAAAATGATTGGTGATATGTGTTACTATAGGTGCAAAATATAATACTTGACTTGCCTTATCAAAGGTGCGGTTGATTACGAATAACATTGAAATTTTATTCTTTTGTTAATCATTTTGATGTTGAAACAATGTTGCTATCTTTTGCGTAAAATGTGAGATATGTATAAATTCTCGCCTGCTCAAATTATATAAATGTCTAAATTGAAATATGATTGGTAAAATCATAAAAGATGTGTTACTGTAGGTGCAAGATATAATACTCGACTAGTCTTAGCAAAAGGTGCGACATGATTATGGCCCGTACATTTTGATGGATTGAAATTTTAAATAAGGTTGCTATAGGTATGTGTTTGCGTAAAATATAAAATATGTGTAGATTTTCATCCGTTCAAATTATATAAATATATAAAAATGAAATTAATTAGAAAATCTATAAAGACATGTCATTATAGATGCAAAATTGAATACTCAACTTGTCTTTAGCAAAGTTACAATATGATTTCGTCCCACGTCTTTTGACGGGCTGGACATGTTTGACAAAGAAAAAACAAAAAATAAATAAAAATAAATAAATAATATATATATATATATATATATATGATAATAAATTTAGTATTTAGGTTCTAATAAGAAAATAGAAAAGAGAAAAGCATTCATTTAGCCCAGGTGGCACCTCATAGGACGGCGTATAGTCGCGTGTGTGTTCTTGTGGAGAATAAAATTTTTACGGTTTGATATCACCGAATTGGTATCAAATTAAATGAACCTAAAATTGAAATTCTTTTACAGATTCCCTATTTTATTTTTCAACTCCCGTGAACCAATTTTCCATTAACTGTAGGTTTGATTGCTTGTGAGCCGGGGAAAAAAAAAAATTTATTCTTTCCGGCGGCTGTTTGGAAATGGTTTCCCCGGAAAACACGAATTGGTTGTATGACTATGAGGTCGAGGACATCCCGGTCCCCGTAGGGAATTTCTCTGCTCCACCAGCTGGGTTTTCTTGGTCAATTCAAGCTTCGAATGGTTCAACTAATGTCAGGTAGTAGTTGGAATGTATTTGTTATATTTCTTCTTGTATTCGCATGTGTTGTGTCTCCTTATTAGGTTGTGAACTTCCTTCTTTTTCCATTTTGATGGGATATTTTTGAGGTTTTGTAATTTGATATGGTACTTACCCAATTAGTTAAAGTTCTTGATTTAGTTGTTTAATGTTGCAAATTCGAGCCAATTAGTTAGAGTTAGAGTCTTCTGGGTTTTTTGGTTTTTGTGATTTGGGAGACTTGTTCGTGAATTTCATATTTTGTACTTGGGTTTATGCTCTCACTTCTATAATTTTCCTTTTCTTTTTAATTCTTTCTTGTATCCATAGATATTGACATTTGATTTATCAAGACTTGTTTTAAATTTTATTATTAGAAGTTGTTAATGCTCTAATTGCTGTAGCGGATCTTGATTAGATTTTTTCGGAGTGCTTTCGTGATCAGATTAGATGTTGGGCCTTCTATTTATCGCAACACAATCTTTCAAGCACCTAAGAAGGTGCTTGTTGATTTTTTTTATTCTTTGTTTTGATAAGTAACACGAGTATTTCTATTGATATATGAGGGGATATCGTGCTGACGGCAAACTTGTTGCTAATAAGGCTTAGTTAGTTGTATATAAAGGATAAACATCATTCAAATCTTTCAAGTTCTTTTTGAAGTTCTAAGGTTTCTTTCATTAGTATCCGATTCAGTATTTTTTTTCCCTTCCAGTTCACTCTAGTAAATATCAGTTTTCGCTATTCTCACCCTTTTCTTTATGCCAATCCAATCTTATTGATAGTGTGGGAATTGATGGTTCATTTGGGGAATCAGACATGCAGAAGGAAACTGCCTCAAAAAAAAGGTAAAGAGCATCTTCTTGGTTTGCATATTTTCGGCGGTTGATCAGTTGGGTTTTTTATTTTATTTTATTATTATTATTATTATTATTTTTTCCGGTTGTAAAGATGCTCAGTTTGGAAACATTTATCAGATGCACATACTACTATAATATATAGTTAATTACTTTTAAGATTGGAGTGAGGAGTTTCTTAATCTCCTTACATCACATCACCTTTCCTTGAAGTTTCAGCCTTCCATGGTGTTTATAGCTGCTTGTGATGTTGTAGAATTGCTCGTCTATATAAGAAAGATGTTACAAGAGTTTTTGCTTCATGAACTTAGTATTGGTTTTGTAAATTATGATTATATTGGAGAGGCAATTATATACGCTATTACTGCTTTGCTGCTAAACCTTCATTTTTTATTTTCCCACATTTTTGGCACTTACATAGACCTAGAGTGGAATCATGCGCTCCATCAAATTCCAAAGCTTGCAGAGAAAAACGACGGAGGGATAGGCTAAATGACAAGTATGATCATGTTCTCTGATGTCTCCTCTGTCCTTTACCCGTTTACTATCTTCCAATAACTGCAAGGGGTGCTCTTTAGGTATATGGAATTGGGTGCTCTTCTCGAGCCTGGACGACCTCCTAAAACAGACAAGGCTGCCATCTTGGTTGATGCAGTTCGAATTGTAACTAAGCTACGAGGTGAAGCCCAGAAGCTAAAAGACTCTAATTTGAATCTTCAGGAGAAGATTAAAGAACTGAAGGCAAGCTTTCTCCACACCCACATTTACTTCTTTATATTGTCTCCATCACTATCTGTGGATGTGAATCCAATATTTTCTTGAAAAAATGGATGGGGAACCAAGAGATAATAATCACTACTTATGCAACTCTCATACAAGTTCCACTAATTTGTGTAGGCTGAGAAGAATGATCTTCGTGATGAGAAGCAAAGGTTAAAGGCTGAGAAGGAGAAACTGGAGCAACAACTAAATACCATGCATGTCCAACCCGGTTTTCTGCCCGCTCCTCCTGCCATACCTGCTGCTTTTGCTGCCCCAGGCCAAGCTGCAGGCAACAAGTTGGTACCCGTCATCAGTTATCCTGGAGTTGCCATGTGGCAATTCATGCCACCCACAGCTGTTGATACTTCACAAGACCATGTGCTTCGCCCACCGGTTGCCTAAGTTGTTGGCCAAATTCTATGATAGCGTAGTTTGCATTTTGGTCCAACTATTAAAGCCCATTTTGCCAATGCTCGACTGTCTTAGTTTTTGCTAACTGTCGAACTTGGATCTAGCAGATGATGGAAAGTACTTGTGGTTCCCGAACTATGATTTACTTGATGCTTGTGTTGTTATGTAAATGTTATTAAGTGAATTTTGCTCATATGTTTTCTAAGGATCTTTCATATGGCTTACTGTGGTGAAATGTACTCTGTAAAAAGAGACTAAAACAGTACTGCTGGTCTCTTTTGACACAAACTGAAATGGTTTGGTTACAAATGGCACTTTTTAATGTTATCTGGATTGAGTGTGATGGAGCCTTTTCAACTGTGTGCAAATTTTACTGAATGCTGCCAAAAGAAATTCTGTATTCTATCCTTGCAGGTTTTTTGAGGCTCAAATTGTTCCATGTGCTATTTCCTTATCTGGATTGCTGTGTAAATTTCTTCACAGAAAAGGCCCTCGTTTTTGACTTTTTAACTGATCAAAATGGATTCCAAATTCCTACAAATTCATCACCAAACCATCAAAATTTCTGACTCTAAATTTCACTTCCTAAAACCCAAAACCCTGCCTGAATCAAGAATTTCATTCTCATCTTTATCCCTGAAATGTTCCCTATCTTCCACAAATCCTCCAACAACAAAAGAAGAAGCTATTCTCCAAGTAAAAACTTCGCTTTCATCCACCTTGGAGAAGCCTCTCAACAACCCAAGACTTGCCGGAAAGATCAAGAAAGTAAAGCAGCCCAGATTACGGGTTGAAATTCCGGTCATTGATGACTCTCCGGCTTCGCTCACACAGCTTGCTCTTGAAGTGTTTGGTGAAATGCCCATTAGAAGAAAAGGCTCAAAGATCAAGATTCTTATCATATGGCCAACCCAAAGCCTAACTCAAGCTGCTGCTGTGGCCTTTGAGTCTCAATCTTCAAACCTTCTTACCGAAAACGTTCTTATATCATCAGTCCTCGAGGAGGATCCCAGAGTTCTGAATTCTGCTGATGTGGTTGTGTTTTTGTCCCCCGAGTCTTCACAATTATCAATCATGAAGACAGTTACTGACAGTATTTATCCAAAGCCGGTAATAATTTTCAATCCTAAATGGGGTTTTGAAGAGGAGAGTGATTTTGGTGAACTAAGTGGTTTTGTATGTACTTTTGAGGTTGTTTATTCATTTATGGGGTTGGAGGTTAAAGGGATTTTGAGCAAGAGAAAAGGTGTGATTTTCAAATGTGTGAAAGATGGGATCTTGAGTGGTGAGAAATGGAATGTTTTGGTTGAAGAAGAAGAAGAATTGAAGGTGGTTTCAACCTTTAAAGCGCGGCCATCAATCATTGAAGTCGAGAATGTTCTTTACAATTTAATGGCTATCAATTCTCCCATTACAAAGTCTGCTAAGTTCTTGAAGGAATTATTGTCCAATGTGACAGGGAGGAAAAAGTAAGTGGTTTTGTGAAAATAAGAAATTTTTTACCTGATTATTTTCTTAGACTCTACTCTATTATGAGAACTTTGAGAATATGTTTGTTAAAATGTCTGAATGAAGTAAGAATCTTAACAGAATATAAGACTTCTTGTATTATTCGGTTTCAACATCTGCTCCTGACCTTGCCCCTATTGTTTCATAATAGTTGGTATTCCATTACGAGAAACAAACATGAAATGTTATTTGATCACATCCCAATAATTTATGGTAAATCATAAATCTTGATGTGCCCCAAGGCTCGAAGAAATTAAAAAAATCGAAAAATTATAATATATCAAGAACTTAGAAATCAAGGAAGAGTTTTCAAAATTTGAAGCCTGTGGCTATTACAATCTGCATGGAAACGGTGCAGATTCATCTATTGTGAAGAACCTTCCATTTTCATTTACAGGTGAAGAGCCTGAATCAATTGTCTCTAAGATGCTCTTATATGGCATCCCTTGATGAATCTGTCCGAGAAGTTGACATACTTGGTCCATAGAGGCCGTAGTTGTGAAAAGGCTATATCTAGCCATGGTTTTGCTCGACCATTGAAGTGGATGACACCGGCACTTTCAGCATCTGCAACAGTCGTGTTTTCCTGGTATCCTAGCCCTAGCATGTGCCAAAAGGGATCAATCGCGTAGGTATGTCCATGGAAAGCTATTAGACCGGGAGGTAAAGTTCCTAGCTGCCACAAACTTAAGTCGGATTTTATGTTCTGTAATGGGAGAATTAAGACATCATCAGAAAATATTTGATATGTTTAAGAAATTTTACAATTCCAGTGCTATACAAATGTCTTTAAGATTTTATGAATTCCTTACCTCTTCAATCCAGTGATGGTATTTCTGGCTAATATTTGTTTTCCTCCAAGCGTCTAGATCGAAGATGTTCATGCCATAGGCCCATGCACATTCATTAGGATTGAAATTCTTTGCTATCAGAGGATGAGAAAAGTTCAAATAACTTTTGAACTTCTTCGACATTACATATTTGTCCTCCCCTATACATGTTTCGACTGCTCCATTGACCTTTCCATTCATGTCGATATCCCACAGAGGTGAAAGGTCAGTTTGCACCACGATGTCATCGTCCAGGAAGACAACCTTCTTAAGACTAGGATACAACTGCAAACAAAATGCATTTTGTGTATTAGACTAAAAGCTCTCAAGGAATTTTAGGGAAAGCCAAGAAACTTTGAGACTTACCTCTGGTAAATGTATCCGAATGTGATTCATCACTGAATTGTACTTGGGACTAAGTGCTTGCAATTTTGCGGCAATAACTTTAGGTTGTTCGGTGTTATTTGCCACAATGGCTGATGACCCTCCTCTAAACTGCGAGCGAACTTTTTGATCTTTCTCCATTGCTTCCAACACGGGGACCTTCCCCTTAGTTAACCAATCAAAATGGTGCAATGCTTTAACCTCAATGATTGCAGGTGTCAAAGGATGCAGTGAAAACCATGCCTGCATCGGATAGTAGGTCTTTCTATCTGTAATTATGTGTAGGACTACCCTCTCAGGACGCAATGAATTTTGCACAAGTGATGATGCAACAACAGAGGTGGCAAGGACGTTGTCAGAGGCGAGCACAAAATGGAAGAACGAATTATCAACCAGGGCAGGGACGAATTCTGCTGATGGTAGCTGGAGACGAGCATTGGAATTAGTAGAATGCTCATTCGCTAATCTTAGAGCAAGACAATGCAACTGTTTCGGGATGCTACTGGATGCCACGTGGCGGTACAGATATTCTTGGATTTTCGCTGTTCTGGTCCTTTGTTCGAACAGTGTCACCTGAAAGAACAAGAGGAATCAGCCATTTGTATGCGTGTTCCTGTTTATCAGATATTTTTGATGATTACCATAGCTTTGAGCTTGACAGCAAAGGTCTTTGCATCTGTCTGTCCATCTTTCATCTCAGCAACAAAATCTTCCAATGTTTGAGGGATTTCTGGTCCTGGTTCTATTTCACTTTGATTAGCAGGATCTTCCAGAACTTGATATATAACTTCAGGAACCTAACAGAATCAGAGAAAGTTCAGTTACCTCAAAAATTCCATATCAATGATCAAACAACAGGTTAAAAACACTGATGCCCACTAAATCTTTAGCAAAATTTCATGTATATTACTAAATTTCATTTTGTTGTAAGCTGGTTATCGAACTTAACCAACGTGAAATTTCGCTAAAATTTTAGTAACTATCAGTGTATTTAGCCTGATACGAATGGTATGAAATTATGTAAAGACAAAAACAGGGTTCAGGAGATTACAGTTGCTTCAAGTCTTCTTCCCAAAACTTTTGGTCCCAATTTTTTCCCCAAGCAGCCTACATTCGATGAAAAATCAAAGATTTTAGTACTGATAAAGTTGTAGAAAAAATAAGGTAAATTTCATTCGTGGTAACTATAATTTCACTTGATGTCAATAAGGTAACTCTATCGGCCGGTAACTACGCATTTTAATTTGATTTCAATCAAGGTAACTTAGTTCGATTCCACTGACATAAATTATGTGCTTGACACTCAATTAATGATGACTATCACATGTAATTGTTAATTACTAATGTGGAATAAGTACAACTCCAGTGAAATAAATGGTAACTATAACTTTTTTATTATCGCGTCATTTATTTCCGCATTAGTTTCAGTGACGAAATTGGATGGAGTACCCAATTGAAATCAAATTAAATGCAATTATTCAATTGAGCAAAAGTAAAAGTATGATTATATGCTTGACATTAATGGAATCTTCAAAAAAAACAAAAACAAAAACTAATATTGTGATGCAAAAGTTCATATGTTTTAAAATCACAATTACAAATAATTACTAAAGATTAATAATGAAATTTTATGTTATCTTTAAATTTAATTATTGATAAAAGCTTAACATTACTTTCAAAAAGGTTTGTCGATTATTAAACAATTAAGAAAATAATTTAAGACTAAGAAAAGCTTATTAATTAGTAATATTAACAACATAAATAGTTTAATAAATTTAACTAAACGACGAAAATTTTGTAAATACGTAAACTAATAAAAATATAAAAATTAAATACTAATAAAATATTTCCATCAAAAATGGAATAAAATTACCACTAATAATTTCTCCCTCCACGATTAATAGATGAAAATAAAATATTATCGTCTAACAAATAAATAAATAAAACTTCTGTTGGTGATACCAATAACTACCGTACCAGTCGATGTGGACGTTATCACCAACATTATTTTAAAAAATTAAAAAAAATAAAGAAAGAATAAAATTATTTTCATTTCAAGTAGTGATAAAAAATTCTTATAATTAACTGCTTTATATATGCATACCAGCCAGTTCAAGCTCAAGTTCATATTAATATATGGATAAATCACAATCTTCAAAAACCCATTTTGGTTTATTAATCTGCTTGTATGTATATATGTATCTATATGTGTACATTTGTATTATGAGAGAGCGAGAGAGCGAGAACGAGAGAGAGAGAGGGATACCTAGGGTTGAGCATCTGGTTTCTCCATCAATGATATCCACAGCAGTTAACACAAACACAAAACGAAGAAGAAAAGTGAAGAACAAAAGAGAATAAAAAACCATTCGGTACGACAATCTTCTCGATCCTATCTTCACTTTGATAAATTCTCTCACACCTTTTGCAGGCAAAACAGTGACATGCCTCAAACTTGGAGATATATGCAGCTGCATTTTTCAGAAAAATACCCAGGGCCAGAAATAACGTATACACACGCGAACACTACGAACTCTATATTTATTTAGCAATGCAGCCAAGAATTTGTGTTCGAAATGCAAAGACGATGTAAGAGAAAATGCTGTAAAAGGAAGGTTTTGAGGGTGCATGTTTAGGGTTGCTATCAGTTACCTAAACTTGCTTCAAATTTAGGTTATAAATTTAAGGTGTATAAACGTGTTTATTTTTTAAACATGGAAATGTAAATTTGGCAGAGAAGAGGAGAGTTTGTTTGAAAGAAAAGGACTTGAGACTGACCTGGTGTTGAAGAAGAAAGGTAAGAGAGAGAAAAGCAAATGTTTTGAGAGAGAAATGCGATTTATATTGTTTTGTTTGGTGGGGTTTCGCTTTGCCTCCACATGAAGTCTTTTGAAATGAACAGTTTAAGTTTGGTCTTCGACACGGACAGAGTTTCTAAATGGAAAAATGACACTCTTTTCTGTCCTATTTTTTGGTCTTTAGGGTTATGTAAATTTATGTGTGAGCAGGTTAAACCATAAAAACACAAAGGGCTAAACAAAAGTATCAAGTTGCCGTAACTGGAATGAAACGATCGATTCGATCTGGTTCTATTCTTGTTTTTTAATCGATTTCGGGTACTAGAACCAAGAAATGATGGATTTGATCCAATTCTTGATTCTAGTACCAAAAACTTAAAATCCAAAATGAATTGAACTTCTAACTTAATTGGTTCAGTTATTTATAGAACTATAGTATATAATTAATGTATATTCTCTCATTACCATAACGAAAATTTAACTAGAAATTGTACTTGAAACAAATGGTTCTATCTATAAAATCCTATTTCTTGATTTGGTTCGATTTCTTTGAAGCTGGAACATGTACACTTTTAAAATTTTTGACTCAACAAATCCTTTATATTGTCGATCTACCTTTCTAAATGTGTGAATATATTTCAGAAAGATCATACTCTCACGGCATCTTGAAACTTACCCTGGAAAGACGGGTTGCATATTCCGACTTACTACCAAATCTAGAGGAAATTTATCGCCATTCTTCGATTAAATTGGAAAGCATTTCAGATTTTGGTGATTTTCTTGGTCTATGTTTTTCCAGACTGAGGCTCACAAATATTTTCAGTTGTCCCCAACTAAAACTCTCTCTCTCTCTCTCTCTGTTGACGGTACCTTGGTTAAACTAAAATCTTGCCCTTAGAAAGGGCTTAGGGTGCATTTGATTGCAAACATAAAATTTACATGAAAAAAATAAATTGTAAATAATTCAATTGTCTAGAACTTATTTGAATAAAAATTGTTAATTAAATGTGTGATTGTTTTAATTTTCAACCTAAAAAATATTATATTTGTCCGCTTTATATTGGTGGCTAAATGAGAAAGAGTGGATAGATAAAAGAAAGAAAGATTGAGTGAATTTCCTGAAAAATAAAATCATACTCTCCCTAAAGAAATATTTTCATTGATTTTAAAGAAATTATGATCACGTGACCAACAGTAGAAAAATGTTTTCCATGAAAAAAATGACAATCAAACAACAAAACAATAGAAATTTTGGGAGAGAAAACACATTTTCCATGAAAAATATTGACAATTAAAACGCATCCTTAGAAAGAAGATACCGTTACATTTCGTGGGGTGGGATGACATTGACAGACATTCTTTCAACGGTACGATTGAGCAGCTCAGTCCATAAAATATAGTTTTAACTTTTAACAATAATGGAAATGGAGAGACATGGCATTAAAAATAATAAGCAGATATGCAATCAATCAGTTTGCCTTTATTTACATATTATAACTAATTATAGCATCTGTAGTCTGTACTTGCAAAGCCATGGCGAATAAAAACTAACATCAAGGTCTTCAAACTTCCACATCACATCCAAAGCTCCTATTTCTCACTCTATATAATCCACCCATAATTATGAAACTTTTTAAGGAAGCTTCCCAGATAATAAAAAAAGAATACCTTCAAACCTGGGCAAATCAAACCAGATGATAAATTACTCGACTGGGAATAGTGAAGTCGATAAAACTAAAGTTCTAAGCAAATAACAAGGATTACAATTAGCTAATAGGAATACCTTTAATCAAACTAGTCGTAGATTGGATCTCCATAATCTTCAAGCCATCTCTATTATTCACAGATCTAAGACTCCCCCATCGTGGAGTTCTGTTTAGTAATTACAGTCCCGATACCGGTATTCACCACGGGGGTATCATTAGTATATACAAAGCCCCTATTTGTTTCAGTTGGGACATGAAGACCATCCCAACGTGTTTCTTCGGCATCATTGTTTGATTCGGCCATTATAATGCCAACGCTGTTCGTAGAGTCAAGAGAGCCAGAACCGCTCTTGTAGGTAAGTTCTCCATTTGCAGACCCCTGATACAGAGCTTGGCCATTGTTGCCACTATTTATAACAGGAGTCCTGAATGACAATGAATATTATTCAAGAGAAAAAAATGGAAAATTTATGAGAAATAAAAACAAAAAAAATATTAAGACATAACGTCAATGAAACCACACAAAACCAAAAGAAACTGAGAAGTTGAGATAGACTACTGTATAATAAACCAGACATGGGCTGACCACCAGACAAAGATTCCTGCTTTCTAGCCCACCATCCCTGAGTAAATGACTCTTCTATAGCCGAAACACTTAGTGCAATCCCTTAGTACAAGATACTTATTCATTCCATGCAAGCAAATGCAATAAGTCAAATAAGAGTGTCCTCAGACGAAAATAAATTACAGAACCATCTCAATGTACCTCTCTTGTGGGAATTTGGAAGCTTGAAGATAATCAAAAACTGGAAACAAGTTTTTTGATCTCATTTCAAGCGTGCGAACAGGGATTCTTTCAATCTCAATCTCTCCCCTACAAGCACCTTCCTCATCTAAATTAAAGCCATCGGTCAGCATCGACTGAAAATATATCTGCCCATAAATGTTACAAAAACAAATGATGTCATTCGACAAAGACAGTGCAATTTACTTAAAAACCATCCTCTATTTTTCCGTGGAAGATAAGGTACCTCAGATCTCAACCACAATGGATTCTGGCTTTCATGCATCCGGAGTTCTGCCCCAGATATGTACATTTGATGTCTTTCTTCAGTAATGTTATCATTTGTGGTTGTAACCATGACATTGGAAACTACATTGTTTTCATGTCTAGTTCTTGTTGGAAATACTTTACTGCTATCAGAATTTACTTTTTGAGCATAGATATTATCTTCTTGCTCCTTTCGGTTTTGTTTTTGACAAATATTCCACTTCTGAATTGGCTCCACAGCTAATCTTGTATCACAGTTGAGGCCTGATTCACAAGGGGTGCTTGCTCCAGGCAAAGATGTTATGCTATCAACCACAGGAGAGAGCCGCAGTGCATATTGTACCACATTACCAGAAGGAGAAAAAACCATCAGGTAATAGTTTTTCTTAGGAGAGCTGGTATCTGCATACGAATCATTGGCTTTGCAGTTGAAGAAAGCAGAAGCAATTACTCCAGAGAGAGAACTCATTCGCCCAGTCGCAGCTGCAGCAGCACCTTTCACTGTGTTTCTCCATCCACTATTTCCGTTCCTTATTCTGCTAACAGCATTAACTGTAATTGGGGGCCCAGATATGCAGACACTCCGTTGAGTTAGCACCTGCAATCCTGAATTTGGTGCATTGCAAATCGTGGGCTCTGCCATCAAGCTGGATCTACTGTTTTTGGTACTAAAACAAGCATCAGTGGATACTGACCCCCCGGAAGAAGAAATTGGAAAGAGATGACTCGTTCCTCTAGAGGAACTAATCATAATCCATTGGCTATCAACACTAAAACTTATATCCTGTATGACCTGAGAAAGAATTACCAACGAGAATGAATAAGTTCATTTCAATAACAAACTCGATCAAATAAAGAAAACAACAAATCTAGCTCTTACAGCATTTGTGAAACCACGTTGAAGCCTATAAATATGGCAATAAGAAGGGCCAGAAGAAGCTCCAGAATGTCCAGGCATAATACAGAAAACATTGATATTATGACCCTGAACTGAAGCCGTCACTAAAAGGTTCCCACTAGGATCAAAGCACAGTGATTGAATAGGACTTTTATGTGCCCTAAACTGTGCAACAACAGTTCTGGTGACTGTGTCTCTGACAATGACCTGACAGATGAATTACAAACAATAATGAGAGAGCAAAAGTTTAAACTAAAATGCACGGAAATTAAAATAGAAAGAACCGAACAGTTCCCTACACAGTTTTAAGCAGGAGAGCACAAAGAAGAAGCAACTAGTACCGTGACTTACAGTCAAAACATAGTCAAATTAGGCTTAATAACTTGTGGATGTCAATTTGACAATAACGACAACAGTAGCATAGCAAATACACACAAATGGTTTGCAAAAACCAGTACTAAGATTTACGCTTCAAAAATTAGTTCATACCATGCCAGCATCCTCTGCATCAGGCAAAAAGCCAGTAGCAACGCCAATTACCTTCCCTCGAGCCTTCCCAGATTGCGAGTTGTTGCCTTCAGGTACCAGCTCAGAGTAATAACTTGATAGTTTCTTATAACCCTTGTCTCCTAAAGTCACAATACCGGCAGCAAGTTGCTTGCTTGACTCTTTTGCATAATGTGCAATGAGGCTTTCATTTGAAGTAGGATTAGGAAAACTAGCTGAGGGGGTAAGGTGTTCTGGAATCACACGCCCAGAATCTGAATTTGCAACTTGACTCCCACTATAAGCCATCCACCTGGGACCCACGGCAAGCGGCCCAAAGCCTATATTTCCGGACCCAAAAGTCCCCTTAACAAACGGATTTGTAAGAATTGTATACTCTTTATCTAATGTCGAAGCATTGAAACAATGTATCTGTAAAATGGATGTCTTATTCATATGGCTTATAAAAGGGAAAATGTGTTTTAAAGAATTTAAGGATAAGCAAGCAGACCTGATTCGACTGCAAAACAGCAACAACTCGAGAGCTGCATCTCACTACATGAATAACTGATCTAAACCTTAAAAGATGTATATATGATTGAGATCTCAAGGAATAAAACCAAACCACAGTAGGAACACAACTACCATTAAGTGAACCATGGTATTGTTGGATGGACCCATTACAAGGAGCACCAAACCTCTCCTGGTTGTTATTACCTCCAGAGAAGGATCCATCAGCACAGATGATCAGCAATGGGCAACTGTCCACAAATTTATCCCCAGACTGCTTTGATGCCATTGGTTTTGGTAACATTTGCATAAATGAAACGGGACCATCATGCCTGGAAACTAAGTTCTGCACATTGGCTGCTTCTTCAACATCCCAAACCTGAAAGCCGTAGCTGTACGCCAGCAAGAGAACTCGCCAGGTGATGCCTCCCTCATCTTCTAATTTGTCAAACCCAGCCCAGTTAACCTTAATAGGTAATTGGAAAATAAAATTTGATCAGCTCCAACTAGCAGATCTAGAATACATGAAAAGGAAACATAATTATTAAAATGAATCAGCACGAGATGGTGAAAGATAATAGAATCCCTTACATTAGGAAGTATATTTGTCACGGATCAAATAAATGAGTGCTACAGGTTCAAATGCAAAATGCATATCATAATATTGATTATAAATGAACAAGAATCACTTTTGAAGGATTGACCTAATGGTAAAACCGTAAGCTCCCTCAGAAATTATTATGAACTATGTAACACAACACCATGTAAATAGTAAAACTAGCATGCGGGGAATATTTGATGTAATAATACTAAATCAGATCATAATTGTCAAAAAAGTCACATGGACAGACCAAGTAAAAATTTCAATGAACGATTAGTAAAAAGACATGGCAAATGCTAAAGCATGTGATCCTCAATCCAAGGTTTAAGTCTTAACAATACTGCAAAACTATGTCCAAATATTGAAGCATGGAAACCAATGACAAACACTCTCCTAAAAAAGCTAAAACCTTGAAGAGTGTAAGAACGAGATCCAGAAAGTCCTCTAAACAGTTACGAAGTAAATTTCAGTATTTTAACCAACAGCAGAAGCCAAGCTGCCAAATCAGACTGAGAGGTAGGATTCCATTAAATGTTAAGAAATTCATGTGTCCTTCAGTAACCTCCTACTTCCCACTCCCTGAACAAAAAAGGAAAAAAGAAAAGGGAAATAAAAAGGAAAAAAATTAACAGAGAGCAAAAAGGCCCACCGACCCAAAAAAAACCACATGGAGATGCGACCATTTTTCCAATAATACTAGTGACAGATACATCGACAACGCAAAGCACTGAATGTTTGAAACATAATACAGACAACTTCACGGCCGCAATAAACGAAACCATCAAAACAGAATACAGACAACTTTATGTAGGCCGCAGTAACTGAAACCATCAAAAAGAATACAGACAGTTTTATGAACGCCGCAATAACCGAACCCATCAACATTCTACACATTAAGGGCATATATTTTATTCCAGGACTGCTGTACAAAAAGATGTTGCATGATTGACAGAGCTAACCAGTTCAGTTGTAAAGGCCCATAAAGAAATATATTCACGTGATAAAAATGATCCATCCATATACATGATCCTGTGATAGAAAAATATAACCAGTTTTGTCGAATTGAATATGATCACAATTTTTCTTCATAAAAAAAAAATCATGCTTGTCCTATTGCTAGAGAAGAGATTATGCGAAATAGGATACTATATATCCTAGAACTTAAAAATCCTGAAGCTTTAACAAAGATCAAAACCAAAATACAGGAATTCAATATCTTCTTTCGGAACAACTTCTAGAATTGTAGAAAATAATACATCCCACTGCTGCAAACAGATAACAGTCGTTATAATTCTCTCCTAATCCACAAAGGGGGGAATATAGGAATAACACGATGCTAAAGATCAAATCTGCAAAAAACCATGAGTTCAGGACTTCACGCTGCAAAGTTTCAACCTTGATCTGAAAATAATCATTCAAAGCTAAAATCTCCAAAAATGGCAGCGAAGCTATTTAATTGCAAACTTTACATGGCAAGAGTTTTTTTTCTCGTACAGTTGAACGCAGGATGCAGCAACAAATTTCAGCAAACAATGTATTCAATTCAAGAACAACCATATTCAGCTGTATATAACTAAACGTGCTGAAAGTGCATAAATTTCTCTTGATTATCCATATTGATATTTCCGTTTCAAAGTCTCACCTGACAATCGATGTATTCAGAATCTCTCTCCGCAGTAACCGAAGATGCGGAGGCCGCAGACCTCACTGTGGAGGCCACGTTGGAAGCACCGGAGGAAACAGTCCTCAAGTAGCTGGAAAGAGACTTAAACGATGTAGGAAGGATCCCATTATTACCTCGACCTGGCCTTGGCACGGCTGGCCAGCCATCACCGCCACCAATTTTCCGGTCATCATTCCTCATCGCCAAACTTCACCGTCGAAGCGAAAATCTCAAACTTAACCAGCCGAAAACACACCGCTAACAAGCTGTTCAGCTCTATTGTCAACGAATAAAACCCCTTTGTAGTTTTTACCACCGATAAAACAAAAGCCCACAGAAAAACTTGATCCCCTCAGCTTACAGGTGTATGCATTTTTCGCTCACAGTTCAAAAACCATGCAGCTCGCAACAAAAATACGGCTACACCACACTTGCCCAGCGTCATATTCTGTATTTTTCCTCTTCACCATTTCATTGATGGCACCAACAAACAAAAAAATTGTTAAATGTATAACATTAAAAAGGGTTGCTCTATGAACTCTATTAATAAAAATTTTGATAATACAGACAACAATATTCCCCAAATAAAAATAATTTCTTCGTCTGTGATTTTTGTTCTTATGTGCCTCTATACAAACCTAAAGTTCAATGAAAATCAAAGAATTCATAGAAGAATAAAACAATCATAAAAAGAATAAATTCAAATTGAAACCAGAAATTCGAAGAGTTGAAATCAGATTGAACTTTAATATGTTCGATGATTTCCGAGATTGACGATGCTAGAGAGAGAAAATCAAATGTAATACGAATAGTTTTAGAAAGAAAAACAGACACTTTGACGGATGGGGATAACGAAAAGGGCGAAGAATTAAAAATCTCTCCGACTCTTTTACGTCTCTCTCTAATTATAATCTTTTAATCAATTTTGCCATTTCATCTTTTCTCTTTCATGGTCAACAGAACTCCAGCACCGTAAGCTGAAAAATTAGGGTTCGTTTGGAAGCGATTATAAGAATTGATTTTTTGATCATTACGAGAAAAGTGGGGATCACTTGTGAGAGAAAAAATCAAACTTTATGACTGAAATAGTGAAATAATGGTTAAAAGTCAATTTTTTCGGGAATGAAAAATTGCTCCCAAACATCCTATTGGGTTTTACTAACATTTTCGATTTGGACACGTTTTATAAATGGAAGTATTTGAGAATCCTAGAAAACCTTTTGGGAAATAAAAAAGAAGATTATAATTATTTTGTTGAAATTCAAAAACCTAATTAAACTGGCCTTGGATGTGGATGTGGATGTGGATGTGGATGTGGATGGTGGACAAAATAATCAAATCAAACCAAATCGAGCAATTGAATTCAATTCTACAAAATAATTAATAATTTTGATTCTTAAACCGAAAAACCATTTGGTCTATATCGAGCTATTTAACCCTCTTTCTTTGATTGAACTTCATTAAGTCCAACATGCCAATAAAAAAAAACACTACCAACAGACAGAACAAAGAGCACCATCGTCTTACTTCTATCTTCATGACATTCAATTTGTTTTGCTGGTCTGCTTATGCATAGCTGCCCGACAGGCTTCTATCCCAGACTACTAACTTTTTATGCAGCTTGTCACTATCTATTGGTCGGATTTCGCCTACCTTGTTAAGAGGGTCTTTTTACGAAATGTTGGAAGCGATAAGGAAAGAGAGCTGCACTGTTTTCGAGCAAGATAGCATGTATGTTCAACTTTTAGTGAATCATTGTTATCTGATAATATTTTACATATGGATGAAACTTGATGTTTGTGTATTTAAATTATAATTATATTTTGTTTCTTTGTTTGAATTTTTGTAAACAAATTTATTACACGATATTTCATTCAATTATTGATAAATTGAAGTTAAATTTATTGAATGTTTGATATTTATTTATTTATTTTTACTTAGGCATATGTGTACTTTATTGAATGTTTAATATTTATTTATTTATATTTATTTAGGCATATGTTACTAACTTATGTATATAATAACAAATTTTAGTTTGTATTTATCGTTTGAAAATTTAAGTAATAGAATAAGAAAAAAAACAAAATCAAACCAAAATAGACTAAACCAAATCAGAATTGAATGGTTCGGTTCTGGTTGGATTCTATATGTTTAAAAAAATCATTGATTCCAAGATCAAAAGGATCACTGGTTTATGGTTTGGCGCAATTCTTTTAGAACAAGAGCCAAATGAAATCATGTGTTACCTTTTGGGTATGGATGTGATTTGGTCGATTCTCATTACCGAATTGAGATCGATATTTATCTCATAATGGCATGTTAATTTTATCTATAAATTACAATTATGGCCAAACTAAAAATCGAAGGGAATGATTTTATACTTTCGATTTGGTTTAGCTCGGTTCTATAACCAAAATTTTCCAATTATTAATACAATTTACAATACAAATACCCATCATAAAAAGTTTGTACTCGTGTCCACAATCAAAACAATGTTTTCTATCAACAAAATATTAACTAATAAAAGTCATTCAAATAATAGTTTATGATTTAAGTTTGATTTTGACTTTAAACTATTAGGGTGCGTTTGATTACAAGTAGGAAAATTACATGGAAAGAAAATGAATTCCAAGAAATTGAATTACCTAGAAATTGTTTTCATGGAAATTGTAAATTATTGTGTTTGATTGTATAAATTTTTCACGTGGAAAATGTTGAAGTAAAAGTATTTTTTGATGTTCGTTTGACTTTGTTTTACGTGGAAATTGTCAATTTCAGGGATATCCTCTTTTACAATTATTCCTAAAATTTGTTCCCATTGCCAACAATTAAAAAAAAATAAAAAAAGCAAAAATAAAAAAATAAAAAAAAAGGTGGAAAACCAAAAACCACCTATCCCCTAGGAAAAAAAAGGTGGAAAATCACGCTTTAAGGTGTTGTACCTAGAAATTCATGGAAAATCAATTTCCTGGAAAATTTTGTCAATCAAACAGGCCAAAAGTGGAAGTTGGAATTCGAATTCCAAGTTCCATGGAAAATTTCGTGCAATCAAACGGGGCCTTAGAGATTATTATGAAAACCAAACAAATACTTTGAAAAATATTAGTGCATTTTAAGGGACACGTGGTGGTGGTACAGAGCAAGTAATTTGTGTAGTTTGGGGTTGAGAACCAGATCTACGGCGTGGAGCGGTGGAGTATGGTAAGACGCGTGGAGCGGTTGAGTGTGGGATAAAGTAATGAAAATGGAGACGCAATCCGCTGAGAATGTTTTGGATACCTATACATAGAGATGTTAACGAATCGAGTCGATTTGTGAGCCAAAATTTTTTACTCGGGTTTGGCTCAAGCTTTTCTAAGGCGGGCTTTTTTTTGCCCAAATCGTACTGAGCAAAAGCTCGATCAAAAAATTAAGGCTCGACCCGAGTTTTCGGCTCGGACTTTACCGAGCCGAGCCAGGAAGAGCTCGATTTCTGGATTTTTTTTCCCCTTGCCTCTTGCTGCCTGTAATAAGCTGCCAAACAAGCAGCTTGTTATAGTTGCCCGTTGGCAGCAAATCTGCTGCCAAAAAGGCAACGAATTCCCCCCCCCCCCCTTTATTTTTACGGCTCGGCTCGGCTCGAGCCAACTCTAAAAAATGAGGCTCTGCCCAATCTTTGACTTGATACCTCCGAGTCTTGAGTCGAGCCGGCTCGATCTTTTTCTAAATCGAGCTACGAGCGGCTCGAGCCGACGAGTCCAATTGTCATATCCCCACCTCTCTGTCACGACATGCTTGAAACCCCACTCGAGTAAAGTAACTAATTTCAGAATTTTTAATTAATCACGAGATAATTTAAATTTCATCTCGAATACGTTCCTGATAAATAAGTTGATTAGTGACAAACTTGATAAAGGAAAGAGCAAAATTTAATTTTCACAAGCAAATGTTGGAGAAATTATTGTTGCATGTTCTTGTCGTCGAATATTTTCAGATACCAACCTCTGCTTCTAGAAAGTCATCAGAAGAAGTGTCACACTTCTTCTTGAAGTGTCGGGAAGTTGAATAACAAGATTCGGGTTTTTATTTGCTAGTCTTAACCAATCTCACTTTGAATGTCTATGCAGAGTAATAATTAGACAATAAAATTGTTTGTCAAAATTAGCGTGTAGTTTCACTTCAAGTGTCTAGCCAATTGATATTGTTACACCCCAAAATCTACAAAGAAGCCACACAAGCACCATCAAGGGAACGAACTCGCGTAGGCCTTTGACGATATGCCACGTGGCAATCCCACGTGTTCCTTGCTTTCTCTACTCAACTCGAGTGAGGCAATTGATCCATTGAACCTCGCTTTTGACTATACCATGTCATCCCTCATGTTTTGAAAAAACCACTGTCAAGAATGGGCCTTGCATTCGAGATGAACCCTTTATCGACATATACCAATATTAAAGCCTTTACTTTTGACTTTTCGAAAATTCATAAATTGTCAACATAAAATTCACCAAACACCTTGCATTAATGTGAAATCAATGCTTCTGAATTTGTTAACGTAATACATCATCTATTATGCTAACTAACCATATGACTTGAGTATCTACAAACGTTATTCGTATTTGACACGGCATAATTAATTTGTCCATACTTGATGAATATGCGAGTTGATATTTCTTTAATATCCTTTTGTAATCCAATGTGAATCAATACATCATTTGACTTGTACTTACTATATATCAAAATTGAATTTTTCATGGAATTTGTTCAAGCCTATTTGACACTTACCGTCTCTTCTCCATAACACCATGTTTCTCACTTTGATCAACCTTTGTGCTCCTCACTATTGGAAATTGTATATACTTAATTGATTTGCTCATAGGATCTTTGATCAAAGAAAAATAGTGAACACAGAAAATATAAAAAGATGGAGAAAATTTACACCATCAAGCATCGAATGCAATATAAGTCAGGCATTATTACACCCACAATTTTCTACACTTTGTACAAATCGAAAGTCCACAAAAAATTCCTTATTTGCTAGACCCAAATTTTCACCCTCTATTTCATACTAAATACAAGAACATACCATGTCAATATATAGTGGACGATTGTAATATCCTATCAAAATTTTAAATCTTTTAAATGGTCACATTTTGACTTCATTTCATTTTAAGTGAAAATGCCTTTTCTTTTTCGATTCATTCGTGGTCTCATAAGTTAATCACCGAGATCCCGACAACTCGACGAGCCCGAGTCCATCTCATAGGCTTCTTTGGTCAAGAATTGTTTTTGATCTAGTTTTTAGGAATCAATAGAAAAGACAAATTCCTAATGATACACCAGGTCCAGCTTATTCAATTGATAATGACTCTTCCTCACCTTACTTTAATTTGATGGGAGAGGATTGGAGTAATAAACAGGTACTTGCCCTTCCAATCCACATTCTGGTGATAGGGATGACAAAAAAAACTGTTAAATATGATATTCGTAGGCCTCACTTCAAATGAGACGAGAATTATCCGCCTAATTAGGCAAATAGAACAAGGGTGAAACGGGCGTCGCTATCTAGAAGAGGGTACGGAAAACATAGTCTCCATTTCGCTTTAAAGTTTATTTCAAATTTAAATTTTTTATCAAACAAAAAGAAAATAATTATCATCATTTCTTAAGAGAACATGAATTATTTTTAACAAATAAAAAAGGTAATAATTTTCATTAACTAAAGACATAAAAAAAGATAATAAAGGAGGTGATAAATGGGATGAGGCATGTCCCCGCAACATAGGGGTGGGCGCGGGTCGATTCGGTTCGGTTCTAAAGAGAACCGAATCGAACCAAAATTTTCGGGTATTTAGTAAATGGAACCGTTGGGTCCAAATATAATTATGGAACCGTTCGGGTTCAATTTTGTTCAGTTCTGGTCCGTTTGGTTCTGTACTATAATTAAATTTTTTTAACATTTATAACAACACTATATAAATACAACTAATGACACATTCAATAGTTTTGAAATGTCAAAGACTAGTAAACTACCTTATTCAAATGATCGCTACGGTCAAAATTTCGGTTGGCGGAGGTCACAGTTTCAATCCGAGGTCACCGCATCGGTTGACGATTATATAGGTTTTGGAATGTCAGCTAAACTGTGAGAGTCAAGACAACGTTTTTCATTGACAATATCGAATATGTTTTCAATTCTTACTCTCTTGAACTTGATGTTTCAGCGAGACTTACCATTAGGCATAATAGGTAGCCTCCTTATCTGTATTGTGCTGTATATCGGGGTCTGCTTAGTAATTACTGGAATGGTTCCATACCAATTACTTGGGGAAGATGCTCCTTTGGCTGAAGCTTTCACCTCCAAGGGTTTGAAATACGTATCAGTATTGATCAGCATTGGTGCTGTTGCTGGACTTACTACAACACTTCTAGTTGGTCTCTATGTTCAGGTACGTGGTATTTAGCTTTAATTAGTGATATATTCAGTTTCTTGCTGTGCAATTTGGCTAAAATACCTACTCAAAATGCTGAAAAGTGATTGCATGTTTCTTCTAATCAGTCTCGTTTATATCTTGGACTTGGAAGGGATGGTTTACTACCAGCAATATTTGCCAAAGTACATCCTACACGACGCACCCCTGTTCATTCTCAAGTTTGGGTTGGTATTGTTGCCATAATCCTGTCAGGGCTTCTTAATGTTCGTGTGCTTTCACACATTCTTTCAGTTGGCTCATTGGTATGTAGTTTACAGAACATTATGATTGCATTTGTTTTGATCTATGCATCATCAGGAAGATTTTCTGCATTTACTCCCTAATATTTTCGCATAACCATATAGCGCATAACCATGCAGCTCTGTCTTGTGAAAAATGGTTGAGCATTTTAAAGATCACGAATTGATTTATGAGGAATGATTTTGAAATATACATACATCAGATAGACCCACTAGGAATAGGAACGCCCCACTATAATGGATAATTGAAGGAATGGCATCCATATTCTTTTATAAAGTATGAGAATAATGTTTGATAAAGCACCAGTGCATGAGCATTGCAAACAGTTGTTCAGAATGATTTTTTTTACCAAAGACATATATCCTGCTAATAGAATTTATAATGCCCAAAGTTTTGGTTCTCCCATGGAGGGATAAGTATATATAGGCTTACAATCTGCCTCATCTAGTCTAGAATCTCTTTTACGAAGTTTAGAGTTTTACACAGAATTGGTGGCATATCTTGCTTCAGTGGTTTAGTGGGTGGTGGTTTTATTGGTGATGAATTTTTCTGGTGGTAGTTTGCGATGGGATATTGGTCGAAGGGGTTCGACAGGGAAGAGGATTGGATGGTGGCTAGGATAGTGAAGCAAGACAGTGATATCACTATTGTTAGCTCTCCAGTTCAATGGATGCAAATTTAGTGAAAGTTTGACAGATAAATTGGAAGGTCAAAGAAATCAAAGGATGATGTACATGCTTGCATTATTATAAAAATACATGCATGCATATAATATTTCTCTCTATACAATCATTATGACTGGCTTTGATTATACACTTGATTTGTCTGTTCCAGACAGGCTATTCTGTTGTTTCAGCTTGTGTAGTAACTCTTCGCTGGATGGATAAGGCTGCAAGTCAGATTTCTACAAGATGGGTTTCTGAAAGGGCTGAAGGCATCATCTGCCTCCTTACAATTGCCTGTTGCGGTTTTGCTGCTGGAGTCTTCTACCGTTTTGGAGCTTCATTTGTTTTTATGATTCTAGCTACTGTTATTGCAATTTGTTGTGCTGCAGCTCTTTATTTACGACAAGTAAGTTAACTTCAATATCACTTGCAAGGGATTTAGTTTATACTATTGAAATTTTCATTGTATTTCCTTTAAAGATAATTTAAGTGGAGAAAGAACTAGTATACGAAGTATTTTATTAGAACTTAAAAGGCACATACTATTTCTTTAGACTTGCATCAGGATATATCATTCTGTGTTTATAAACATGGAAATGCACATGCATCCTCGGAGCGTTGTGTAATGGCTAGTGACTCCCCAGTTACTCAATAAGATTTAGTTTCTGGCAAGTTCTTTTCAGCATGCCGTGTTAAATGATACAATAACACGGTGAAAAGAAATCAAGAGTCATATTCAGCAGGAATATTTATTTAAATTTTGTGTAATGTGCTTCAGAGTAAGAAATATAGTGGGATATAGATGTAGTATTTCTAGTAATCTAACCACCAAATGAAAGGTTTGGATACGAGCCATTAAAGAAGTTCGCTTGTTTCGTTCTCTTTTGCAGGTATATGTAGATCCACCAGGTTTTTCTTGTCCAGGAGTTCCAATTCTTCCCATCATTAGCATTTTCCTCAACATATTTTTGTTTGCCCAGGTACTTAAATCTAGCATCTGTTGTAATATATTAAGCAGTGGGTATTAACCAATAATCACATAACCATGACTTAAAGCTAGTCTAAGCCGACTTTCACCTTTATTTTGCAGTTGCACTATGAAGCCTGGGTTAGATTTGTCGTCCTCAGCATTATTACAGTTGGTATTTATGCCTTTTATGGCCAGTATCATGCTGATCCTGTAAGTTCTAATGTGTCGATTATATACCATAGGGCACCTGCAGAAGAAGCTAAATAGTTACCTCTTGATGTAATTTTTGTGTTGTATTATCTTGTAATCTTCAATTAGTATTCATCTTGTATAATAAGGTAATTCTGCCATGCCATCCTGAAAATCGTCTAGTAGTTACTTCATAGATTTTGAAGATAGAATTGTATGCATGTAGGATTATTCCTTGTCGACTGCATTATATTTTACAGAATCTCAATATGTTCAGATTTATACTTAGGATTCCATAAAAATAGATAAAATACTTGATGAATTTTGGTAATTTATGGTACTGATTTTTTTTTGAAGTGAATTGTGCAAATGGTCACTGAACTTTGCAAAAACTTTCCAAGAGGTCACTGAACTTTTTTTTTTTAATAAGTAATTAAATATTTTATTAATCAAAAGGTAATGCACAGGAAGTGTATTATACACTTAAACAAGAAATAAACGTCATGAAATTAAGTAGCCCATCTATGTGACTAGAAGCTGTAGCATTAAACCAATTATATAATGTCAAATAAAATAATTCTCTAAACTGCTCTAAAGTCTTTATCTGATCATCAAAACAACGCCAGTTTCTTTCTCTTCACACGCACCAAACAATGCAACCTAGAATAAGGTCCCAAACAAGTTTATTGTCTTTGTCACGAAACTTTCTCCTCCATGCCTTTAGCATATTTTCCATACGCCTTGGCATCACCTAATCTATATGTTGAGAAGCCAGAATATCATTCCACAGAAAACGAGCGCATCACAATGGATAAACAAATGGTCAATCTTCTACCCATCCTTTATGCACATATGACACAAATCTGTAATATAAAACCCCCTCAATCGAATATTATCTGCCATTATCACTTATCCCCTCACTACCGTCCATAGTAAAAACGTCATCCTTGGCGGCAGTTTACACTTCTAAACCATCTTCCAAGGGAATGAATTCTTCTCAAATCCCAATAAGGATCTAAAATAAGTGCTAACTGAGAAAATGCCATCCCTTGCCAGTGTTCAACTGATGTAGTCACTCTCTCCTACCCTGATATGCACTTCATACAAAGAGGTCAAAAGTAACGCATAATCATCCACTTTCCAATCTTGTCCCTTCCAAAAACAATGTCCCAGCTGATGCTCCCGTTATGTGTATCTAATACATCATTCACCATAGCAAATGGCATCACGGCAACACGATATAAAGAAGGAAATCTCTCTCTTAGCGGTTGATCTGTACACCAACAATCATTCCAAAAGCTGATAGTATTGCCATTTCCCACGCCAAAGGTCACTCTATTTCGAAAGTCACTCCACCCTCGCCGAATATACCGCTACAAACTCACCTCGTAGGCACCACGACCCTCAACCGAACACCACTCACTCTCCATAATACCATATTTCTCTTCTAGAATTTCTCTCCAGAAACTCTCCCTCTCCACCCCAAATCGCCATAACCACTTATCCAATAAGGCCTTATTAAACAATACAAGACTCCCCAATCCGAGTCCCCCAACCCTTGTGGGAGAACAAACTGTACCCCAATTGACCAAATGAAATTTCCTCTCCTCTCCTAACCCTCCTCAAAGGAACTCCCTTTGGATTCTCTCTAATCTCTTAGCCACTGTAACAGGAATGGGAAACGAAGACAAGAAATAAGTGGAGAGATTCGAGAGAGTAGATTTGATAAGAGTTAGGCGACCTCCCTTTGAGAGGTACATACGCTTTTAACCCGCTAACCTCCTCTCCACTTTTCCACTATATTGTCCCAAATGTGTATACTTTTGAACCTTGCTCCTAGTGGGAGCCCAAGATATGTCATAGGCAACTGCGCAACCCTATAGCCCAATGTAGCAGCCAACCCTTCCAATAGTGATAACCTCAGATTTCCCCAAGTTTATCTTCATTCCAGATATGGCTTCGAAGCATAGAAGCAAACGACGCAAGTTCCTAAAGTGCTTAACGTCTGCATCACAAAAGATTAGAGTATCATCTGCAAATAGCAAATGAGATATCTCCAATTGACCAATTTGGACAATTCACTCATTTTTTTGAAGTTCAGTGACCATTTGGGCAATTCACTCATTTTTTTGAGTCTTCAACTGATCATCAATCATTAGGATGGAGTGGGTGGGGTGAAAGCACTTGTTGTCTCCAAATGCATTGCTATATGGTTAGGTTTCTATTTTGCAGAGGACTGCGACCATTAAGGCTTGCTTTTGTGTGGTGGACTGGACCAGACAATATTAAGAGAGTTTCTTTCTTTGTTGTGCGGTCTAGTCCGACGAGCACCTAACAACTTGCTGTTTTGGCTCCATGCATTTATTTATTGGTTTCTTTTCCTGTTTATACATTATGATTCTGGTCAACTGTGAAAGTTGTCTAGTTTAGCTGGTGGAATAATATGCTGCTAACCCCATTTAGACATTGCATCATGCGATTCAAATTTAAGACCAATGGCATGAAGATGAACCCACGGATTTGCCACGCTCATATCTTACTTCAGTTTTTGCCAAAACTAGATCTTGAATTTTTTCGGTATCTCCGCTTCTAGGATTCTGCAAATGAAGAGTTTCTTGATCAAGGTCAACCAAGTTAGCTGACGACATTTTCATCTTGTTCTTTGGGTGGCACCAACAAAGCTCTGTATGGTACATTAAGCATTGAAAGAATAGGTTAAATAATCAAACATTTTTAGCTCTTTTTGTCTACCTTGTATTGCCTATTTGAGGGTCTTGGATTGAGTCAAGATTACAAGGGAAGGGTTAAAGAACCACGATTCTTTGAACTTTTGTTATGTACTAGCAGGATAGAGGACATAGGCTTTGGCTAACGGAAGTACGGAACTGCCAATAAATGTCTACCCATTTTAGTGTCCCGTGCCTATATTTTACGTTTGTACCTTACAATAGGGTAATCTTTGCCCATTGGTAAATTATATTGATTTCTGCACAGGTTTCGCAAGGCATGTTTGGTATACTACATTAAACTAGAGTCTCGACTGTGTGGTTAAAGAAGTCAGGGGTTCGTTCCAGTAGAATCTGATAACCTATACCAAACATGTTTAACATGGAGTACACAAGATTTAGCCACCTCTTGCCAAGCTTTCCACCCCTTACAAGAGGAGAGAAACTTCTAGGATAAAAAACGCGCGTACTTCGAAAATTTCCACCTGAAGTTGTCACTACAATCTCATCAAAACACGACGAATATGAAAAGACATAATCCCAGCTATTATTTTCCCATTGTAATAAATAGGTAACAATTGTAAGGATTAAGGCTTCTTTCCACAACACAGTACACAAAGCGACTTCCCCTTACATAAAATTTATATAATCGGTACACTTTCCAAAACCACAAGCGCTCAAAATCCTTGGGCCATAACATCTCAGAACGAGATGGTTTTCGGAGAGCGGTATACATAATCCATTCTTATTACTTGCTCATCTAATACTTGAACACCAAAAACAAGGTGACCAAAATGACATCTCAATAAACACGAATATCAACGCCTGTGTTCCCCAACTGATATCCCATACAGCTTTCCATATTCTCTCTTGATGCTCTCTGGCTCACATGGCAACGAAGCCACAAGCAAGAAAGCCGAGAAATGGCTGCTTGACTGGCAAACTGTACCCTGCATGCTAGGTTGACGTCTGCCATTATGTATTTGCGAAAAACATGGGAATCATCACTTTCTTCATATCCATCAAGGTCAGATTTTGTTATTAACACCATAGAGTTATCGTCAAAGGCTTCCAGGTCGACTTTCCCAGCAATACCTAAGGTTCTACGAGGTGAATTATCCACACCCAGGTTTCTTCAATCTGTAATAGTAATCTTGAACAGCCTGCGTTTATAAAAGGATAGCAACTCCATCAATTTCCAACAATAATAAAAAGCCTTCAGAGTACCAATTGCAAAATAGAGGTTTGAAAGAAAATAACTGGTAAAAACATTGTTGAACACTTAACTTTCAATTAAGCTTCATTTGTCACTGGACAACTCCATTTTTCTTTCTTTTTAAAAATTTCAGGTTGGTCATTCAACTTTCATTTCTATTTTAATTAAATCATTGAACCAGCTTCCATTAGTAAACTAAACGGATTGTCCTAGTTTGCCACATCGGAATAAAGATTTCTTATAGTACAATCTCTAAAAATTTTTGCATTTAACTCACAAACACCAGTATTTTTTAGTCATATCAACATCGTTAGACCTTTTTCTTAGACCTAAATTCCTACTCTTTGTGCAGGTTCTGATACTTGACATCTAGCTTTCACTAACAAAAATAGTTCAGTGACTAAAATGAAACTCCACCAAAATTTGACCGACTGTGTCAACGTGAAATGTGAATTCAAGGCATCAAAAGTCTTTAAAAAATAAACAACCCTTGGGTTAGAGTAAGAGAAGCAATCGTATTTCAAAAAATAAACTACCAAGCTTAGTCATACCTTCCACTGGGATGAGGCCAACAGTACCCTTGGTCTAATGGACCTCACATGCTTGTATGCAGCCTCGGGTGTCATATTCTTGTATTTAACCTGTTTTTAATGGAGTCAATATTAGAGATAAGAATTGTTAACAAATTAAGTTATGATTCCCGTGGCATTGTAGATGATTACCAAGTAACAGAGTACAACTGTGGTGCTGCGGCCTCGACCAGCTTTACATTGAACATATGTAGTTTTGCAGCAAAATGTATTACCTTTAAAAATCAAAACAAAAAGGTTCTAAGAAAATAAAGATTACAATTAAATTAAGAAGATAGAAAAATGCTAAGTAGCACTTAACAGCCCATGCACAAGATAGTGGCCAAAAATTAAATTGATTGAAGCATTTTTTTTAACCAGTAATAATGAAAACCAATTTATATGAGTAATACATGAAATGATATTTACTGTGGATGAATTCGACAGCTTGGCAAATGACCCCAAATGATGGAGCAAACAGATAATCTCTTGTAGGAATTACCAGGTGATTGATGTTATGATCCTATAAACAGCAAGCACAGTAAAAATGAATAGGCACATAGGAATACACACTACGTATAAGAGACACGAGTCAACGATACAAATGGCTTAATGGTGCATGTGAATTAAACTTCAGATGACTAGCTTCATTTACCACCATCAAGATATTACATCATTTTAGTTAGGAATGAACAGAAAACAAAGGCATGCATATCTTATATGCTTTATACAACGTTTGGCTAAGCTCAGAAAAACTCACTTATAGGTAGGTTTACTTAAGGTTTAAAATAAATATCTTATTTTATTGGTTAAAGTTTGAAATGAGCAAGTTATTTTGATCTAACCAACTTTTCTTTAATAAAGAGTAAGAAAAACGTAACATAATCAACTATATATAAAAATAATAGCACAAATTATTGGCTACTGACAACTCAAAATACTTTAGTCCCTGAAGATTAGCGACGTTGCATTTGTGAAAACACTTTTAACTTTTAATGGAAAATGCTACGTTAACAATGAAGAAATGAATATACTCGATATAATGATGTCGAGACCAAAGTCTCGTACGGCTCATTCAAGGTAACCACTCCACCTACGCAAAGAGCCTTCAATTGTGGAACATCTTTGGGAAATGGAACAGCACCTAATAATACAAACTGGAAAAAGAAAAAAAGTGAATATTGCATGCATATGTGAATAGAAGAATTATTATACCAAGTCGGTGTATTGAGTGGTTTATAGCTATGTAATGGACAAGTGAACTGTGGACTCCTCGCAAACACCACAGTGGAAAGAGATGTGAATCAATTAGGAATACCAATGACCAACCAGAGAAATAATCAGGCATTTTAGTCAGCTCCCTTGTATAATCAAAAGTTAAGGAACCTAAACAAATATTATGAAAACTAATTTTAAGGTTATTCTTCATTAGTGCTCAGGGAAGATACTAGCATAAAACCTATAATCGAGCACAATATAATTATGGTGGTAGTCCAACTCCAAAAACTGGGATTCAACTGCAAGTCTTTTCACTGAGGGCTAATGAGAAACTAGAGACTCGTTGAGGTTATATTTAAATTTCTTCAATATTTGAATATAGACAAAAGAGTAATCATTACCATGTACAAGCCAAGCATTTTTTATTTTTTTTTAACGAAAAGGCTATATATGTGTACTAAACAATGATACACACAAAAAACACACATGCAAATATAACAAGACTTTGTCAGTAAAAATACAAATTTCACAATAGAAATTTTTTTTCTTTCGAAATTGTATGATGTGTGCTTGTGTGTCTGTAATTCTGCTCACGCTAGGGCAGAAGCAGCATGGTGGACATACTATACAAAGAACATTAGAGAGGATACATCCATCAAAGTAGCAGTAGACATGTACATCGATTGCCATTAAACAGGTACAGAAAGACAACAAGAAGAATACAAGATGTCACACTAAATTGTCCCCACTCATATCAATACAACTTAGAAATGACACCAAATGAATTATTCCAACAAAAAGATAGACTCCATTTAGTCCACCATTTAAATGTAGCATTATTGTACTAATTTACGTTTCTGTGCAAACACTGATTAATCCTTCTCATGGAGTTAACATTCTTTCATTAAAAAGAAAAAAAGTTACCCAAATTTGATTAAAATTAGATCCCAAAAGTTATATGTTACTCTTTTGACCCTTTTTCGACAAGTCAGCTACCAACATATCAAAATTATATGCAAAAATTATTACTCGAAATTTCTATATAACCTCGACCATAACTATGTTGAGTTTTGATTCAATAATGTATTGAAGTCAATAAGAATGATTTTGAGACAGTCAAGACCACACCTAATTCTATTATAAAATCAACAATATTATCATCCCAGAAATATGCATCTAAAAAAAGATTTACTCATTCATATTTAAATCTAACTGCTACCAGCATCATTGGATGGAACTCCATATATTATCAACATAGTCATATAACTCAATAAGAATTGCAAACGAGAGGAAAAGTAAAGAACTTGTGAATGATTATGCATACCTCATCAACCCTATCCCACCATCGAAACTCGGATTGAATCTTGTTTCTAACAACATTATATAACAATGTAGGATAGAAAAAAGCCCGAGCCCCTGCTCCGACAATAACCCTTTTTGCATCCCAAATAAGGAAACTACCTTGGCCCTCTCCAATCTCTGAATCATCTTCCTTACCACACAATTACTGCCTCTCTTCATTCTCCAAATTTCCTTCCTTCAGTTCCTCAATATACATGTTTCCAAACAAATTTGCAACCCACTCCTAATAATATTGCAGCAAAAATAAAAATACACCAAACAGGTATAAAAAAACCTTGCAGCCTGTGACTAAAATCAGCAAGAACGCTTCACACCATACCTTTAAAAAATTTTGAAGCTAATTAATAAGTACAGAAAAATAAACCCTCAAAGAATATGACATCAAGATTGAATCTTGCCAGATAAAGACAAAAAACTCACACCAACCCACCAACCAAAATCTTCAAAAACACACAATATCAAGCTCTAATTTAAGAAAACACAAAAAATTAACAAAACCCCAATATCACTTCACCACTTTTCAGAGAAAGACTAACAACCAAACTGATAAATTCCAAGTCGGATTAAAGAGTATACAAGAAAGAAAACCCAACTTTTGAAGGAAACTGTTTCGCACGAGTAGACGCTAACAATTAAAAAAGGGATCAGACGATTGAGTAAGGAACAAACCTTTTGAAACAAAAGTCCCAAAAAGGGGTATTTTATTGGCGATGATTTACAATTGGAAATAAATAGAATGTCTCCAAGGGGTGCAAGCACACGAATACTAAAAGAAGTGTTTAAATTTAAGCTAAGAAATTAAAATTACATATTCTTTGTTTGAGAGTGTTTGATTCTGCCTTTTTTCTATGTCTTCTCTTCCTTTTTATATTCCCTTGATGATTTTCCCGTGACAAACCGCTTGAAAACTGCTTGATCGCTTTATAACTACCCACTTTCTTTATGGTGGCTAACTTGTCGTGAAACTGCCGTCTCTAATTGCTGCCATTACTCTTTGTCGTTCAACTGCCTTCAATTGGGCTCCTTGAATCGTAAAATGTGATAAGATTACTCAATAACTGCTATTCTGGATAACCATAATATTTTATGTTTGCTAAGATCCTGGGCGATTCGAAAGTTTGGGCGAGAACGGGGTC